CATGAGGCAGTACCTGGTCCTGAGTCTGCAGTCCAGCCAGCGCCGGCGCACCCTGAACCGGAATGGTAATGTGTAGCCGGAAGGGGAGCCCCTCCCAGCTGCACCGTCCACTTCAACCCATGAGTGAGTTGGGCAGGAATGACCTGGGGGCAAGAAGAAACCTCATATACCCGTCTTAGCGCATTAGCCCCCAAGCACACACCCCCACACCCCAAGGTGTTCACCCCCCTGCTTCCTGCCCACCATTTTTTTCAGGAGCAAAGATTTTTTTTTTTAGGATTGCTTGACCACTGCCATTGAGAGACTAGTTACCATGGGGATAATAGTAGTAGGTTAAGATAACTAATTCCTCTATAACTCTCCAGGAGCTTAGTTACTATGGGGACAGATAAGGGGACCAATTCTCCTATTCGGTTGCCATGGCAACCATTCAGCTCACCTTTTCTCAGAGACTTTATCTCTAAGAACCAGTAGCTAGACCTACCCTCAGCCGTTAGCTGAGTCTTATTTCTGTGGCTGTGATATTGCTATTTCACCTTCAAAAACAGCTTAGCTATCCCCCATGTCTCCCTCTATATCTCTAGAGGACTGGATTCCATGGAAACCATGAAACTTTCCCAGTCTCCCCAGTGTAGGAGTTGTTCTTAGGGCCAGGAGCTACACTTTCTGCTCCTCTTTCTTCCACTTGCCGTGTGTCCATCCTACCACCTGATGGACTGGCCAGATGGACTGACTCCGTGTGGTTGATGGCATCGTCACTGAGCTTTGAGAAGCTGGCCAAACTGACCCAGTCGCTTTTAGAGTCGGGACTAAGGGTTCATCTTTCCTCACTTTTTGCTTCTTCCCAGGGCCATTTTTGGTTTGTTTTGGTTTGTGTGCTTGCCCTTATTCCTTCCTCCCTTCTGGTCTGTTCTTACCCCCATGACCATGCTTCTACATGTACCTATAATACATATCAGATAATAAACATTAAAAACCCTGATCTATTACCTCATTACCAATTCAACTTTCCTCATCCCATCTACTATCTATAACGTTGAATGGCACAGAGAGCTAGCACAATAGAATTTTCTGAAAATCTAAGAAAACCCATCAAGCCTATGTGCCTTAATTCACATATGGGCATAATATTATCTGCAGGGGCCAGCTGGCGTGGCTCAGTGGTTGAGCATTGACCTATGAACCAGGATGTCACAGTTTGATTCCTGGACAGGCCATATGCCCTGGTTGTGGCTCAATCCCCAGTGCGGGGCGTGCAGGAGGCAGCCAATTAGTGATTCTTTCTCATCACTGATGTTTCTATCTTTCTTTCCCTCTCCTTTCCTCTCTGAAATAAAAAAACATATATTTATTTTTAAAAACATCTACAGAGCCTCACACCTCTTCTTAAATAGTCTAGAAACTCGTCCTAACAGAAAGAACTAATCAGTTGGTCAAAAACATTTCCAAAACATGACCCTAGTGGGGCTTTTCCCTCCGAGGCAACAAAAAAAAATAAAATGCCTGCATGTGCTGTTTTAGTGTGTGTCCCATACTGCAAAGGTAGCCAGATTGTTCATCATCCTTCTTCAAAGCATATTAATGCATGTTCATCTCTGGCACTCACACCTCAGCAGGGAGGCAGCCCACGTGGCTCTTTGCAGGTAGGCCAGCTTGTCTGCAAGAGGTCCCTGGCCAAACATGGGCATGTGCCTTCGGTTGTGAGAGGCCGCTGTGTTTATTTTAGCAGAATGACTAATCTGCGAAGGCCCTGAATGAACCTGCACTGTTTTTGAAGCCAAACTCTCGGGTCCTGAACAAGCATTCTATTTCTTCCTAAGCCATATCTGCACAGTGCTTGACAATCCATCTTTCAGAAGTAGCACGGGTTGAATTCTCTCAAATCTTAGACATTCTCCTATAAAGTGGCTCTTAGGGAACTGAAACTTCTGTCTGATTCTGAAGTACAATCATTTTCTTTACTGAAAGACGGTTTAAAATCAGGAATCAATTTATTTTTCCACATTTGCAGGAATCGATGTATTTAAAAAAAAAAAACAAAACCACACACACTATTTGAGCTCCTATTCAGGCCATTGGTTTTTCTCATTTTCTATTAAGCTTCCAACTGAGCGGCACTGAGACAAAACTGGTGACTAGCTTCTGTCTGCTGCTCTGCTCACGATGGAAACTTCCTGATGGAAACGCTAGACATCCACCAGCTCATTTGGGTTTTGTCGATTGCTCGCTCTCTCCTTCTAGAGCCACCTCTCTATTTCTTTTCCACACATGCATGGTTGCCGAGTTCCAAGATGGATGTGTGTTTATGAGCTTGCCTTTATTCTCTTCCACCCCAACCAGCCCTTCCCTGGCTCGAGATTTCTCCAGCTTGGGGGATTCCAGTGGCCAGTGCTATGCTATGCTTCTGTGACATCCAGTGCCAATCTGTTCTAAGGTTGGAGGAAGCGGGGCTGTCTCACACTGGAATGGGCTAAGGAACCCTAATCAGAAAGTGTAGCGATGTGTTAGGAAGGAGAGACATTGCGTGCAGGACCTAGGCAGAATGACAAGAAGGCCTCACCTGGTCTGGGGATCTTCCGTCCCTTCCCGGTCCCTACCCCGTCGGAGCCTTGACCCTCATAGGCAGTGGAAAGTGAGCACATTCATTCATGATGAGGAATTAGTGAAATCAGGCTGAAAGGGCACTTGCAATGTAAGACAACCACACGTGAGGGTGTAATTCAAGAAATAAATGACTCTACATGGACTCCACATACCAGGGATAAGAGAATGGTCTCCAGGCCGGGCACCTACCCTGTGCCTGTCAAATACCAGCCCACAGGCCTCTCCTTTATGCTGCTAGTCGTGCCAATAGACTATAGTGTGATGGTCTGCTATATAATAGGTCTGTATGTATCATATATATTAGAGCCAGGGAAAGCAGGTGTAAAGGAGTTGCTGCTCTAGGGACTGTTTGGTTAGTTGGTAGCTTTTCTCTGCCTCCTTTCCATCGCTCAGTCACTAGGGTGTATAGGATTGAAGGGTCAGTAGAACTGTCTGGTTTGTCATTATAATCATTTCTGTCTCCCCAGGTGTCCGGGTGATCCCCAAAACAGCATGTCGCCAGGCCCAGACCTGCCGGCTGGGCATCCGGATTCCTCCCTTCCCACGGCACTGAGTCAGGCTTCGCCTCCAGGTCTC